AGACATTGAAAGAAAAATTGGCCTCAGCTCCATTTCCAAATCCCTCTCTGCTGTACATACTGGATTGTGATGCTAGTAATGTCGGCATTGGAGGGGTGGCCTACATGTGGTCTACTTCAGTAGGGTCCTGAGTAGACCAGAGAGTAACTATCGTGTAACACGGAGGGAACTCCCTGCTATAATAAAGAGTCTGACATATTTCCATCCTTACCTCTATGGGGCAAGGTTTACCATCAGGACAGACCATGCTGCATTGTGCTGGTTAAGATCATTAAAGAACGCATAGGGACAACTGGTACGTTGGATCAGAAAAATAGACCAGTATAATTATGATATTGAATACAGACAAGGAAAATCTCATGGAAATGCTGACGGACTGAGCTGAAGACCCTGCAAAAATTACTGCAGACATTGCTGCAAAAAAGAGGTTGAACTAACCAGGTGACATCAAGCTGAAGTCAAAGTGACTAAAGGAGTTGATGATGGTAAAGGGGAACCAGGTATAGCTATTAAAGCAGAGCATGAGAAAGACCAAGATTTGAAGCAAATTATTGATTTTCTAAAAGCAAGTGTTTTGTGCCCTGCTTGGGAGAAAATGTCTAGCTTAAGACCTGTGACAAAGAACTATTGGGCACAATGGGACTGGTTGAAGCTTGAAGATGATATTCTTGTCCGGAGATGGGAACTACAGATGGAAAAGTGACGACATGGAAAACAGCTATACCGAGAAAGTTATGGGAAGTTGTGCTGCATCAATCCCATAATAGTTTAACAGGAGGACTTCTCGTAGTTATGAAGATATTGAGTCTCCTACGAAAGAAATTTTACTGGATAGGTATAAGGCAAGATGTGGAAGAATGGTGCAGGACATGTTGTGCTAAAAGGGGACTGAAGCATAAAGGATGTGCTCTAATGAAGTTATATGAAGTTGGCACACCAATGGAAAGAGTAGCCATTGACATTGCTTGTCCTTTGCCCCAAACTCGTGCTGGAAACAGGTACATTTGTGTGTTGATGGATTATTTCACCAAGTTGCATGAGGCATATGCAATACCAAATCAGGAAGCTACAACTGTAGCTTCGGCTATTAGTGATTTCTTCTTCAGGATTGGTATGCCATACGAAAGACCAGGACAATGCTGCTTCACCCATAGTCTGATGGGATGGTAGAAAAGTACAACTGGACACTTGGACAGGAATTGGCAAAGTTTGTAATAGCT